TCAAAACAGCAAAAGATATAATTCATCAAGCATATTATCTAAATAAAGGCCAGTTGAAAACTATGCTGGATTCAAGTATAGAAACAATCCATTTAACTACGGATCTTTGGACATCTAAATCAAAGCATGGATATTTAGGAGTAACTGGAACTTGGCTAACTCCTGACTTTGAATTTCGTGAAATTCTTTTTAAATGTGGGCATTTACCATACCCACATTCAGGTGAAATGATTAGTCATGAATTACACAAAATAATTCAAAAATAGAATTTACAAACTTCCATTTTTACTATTATAATGGACAATGGTGCCAATATGGTTCATGGAATAAATATTCTCTTAGAAAGTTTTTCTCAAGTTGTTAGACAGCCTTGTGCTATTCATACATTACAGCTTTCTGTACAGGAAGGGCTTAAGCAGTGTAAAAGTTTTCATCATCATATGAAAAATTTGCAAGCTTTTTTTCAATTTCCAAAACAAACTAAGCAGTTTCGACAAGCTCAAGAAGAACTCAATTTGTCTTTATCAAATACTAAAATTAATCCAAGTTTATTAGATATTTTGGATAATACCAATATACGCTAGAATTCTACATTTTATGTCTAGAGATATATTTATGAACTTCATAATGCTATAATTCATGTTGCTACTTCTTTGCTTTTAAGCTCTGATCCAATACATCAAAAAGAAAGTGAAAAATTAAAACAATTATGCCTTTTTTAAATGAAAAGCAGTAAGTATTAATATTTAAATTTGTTTTGTAGTTTACTATTTGATATTTTTATACTAATACTATATATTAAATTATTACTATTTTTGAAATAATTAAAAATAACAAATAATTTTAATTAAAAATTGGCACCCTGATTAGTTTTAATTTGGAAACAATTACATAATAGTAAAATTGAGTATCGATCTTTACTTAAAGTAATCAAGTATGTATCAGTATATGAGAATATATGTACATATGTATGTATATACATACGTACTAAAAAGATTATTTGCTATTTTTAATTATTTCAAAAATAGCAATAAATATATATTAGATTTCTTTTTAATATAATCAATATATTGGCACCTATTGAAAAAATTACATGCTATCTTTCTAGTGCAGATTATCCTACATTTAGCATGATCCACCCATATATAGAAATACTCAAACAATCATTTGCACCTCAGCTAGATCAAGAAGAAACAAAAAGATCATATCTTGATTTAATCTATGGCAATTCATCTGATGATAATAATACCAATAATAGTTCAAGTTCAATTAGTAATGATGATAATATACTTCATAGTGGAGTTCGTCGATATTGGCAATATGCTTATAGGCAATTTCACTGATATATGAAAAGAGGAAAATGTAAAAAACAAACTGGAGTAAAAAGAAAATATTTCAAAAAAAATAAAAAAAAACTAATATTGTTAATAGCATTGAAAATTTACCTCTTGTCGATTCTAATAGTTTGTTATTAAGAGTTGGTGTAGCTATCTATTTATCTTTAGATGAGCTTTGGGATATATCTTCAGATTTGGCTTTGGTCATATCCATACTTGATCCACAGTTTAAGACTTTTTAATGAGCACCAAATCAATTAGATTATGCCAAAAAATTACTTGAGCAATCTTATACCGAAATGAAAATGGCTTTTGAATTATTAAATTTAAATAATCGTTCAGGTGAATTAGCAAACAATTCAACCTATAATAATAATAATGACGATAATAATTTTTTTAGTCAATTAAAGACTATACCTCGTCAAATATTAAAACTAATTGAATTGGATGAAGTAACACGTTATTTGGCTTTAGATAGTATTAAACTTGATGAAAATCCAATCAAATAGTGGCAGTCAAATAAAGTCAGATTTTCAATCTTGGTACAACTTGCTAAAAAATATCTTTCAATTCCAGCATCTTCTGTTCTATCTGAAAGATTGTTTTCAGATATTGGCAATCATATTACATCTAAATGAATACGGTTGGTACCTAAATTAATAAATAAATTCTTATTCTTAAAAAGAAATAGCAAGTACATTGAAATATTTTTGCCGCAATGATCTGTTTAAAATATTACATGTATACTGTACATATGCTAATCAAAATATGCAAATAAAATATATTTTGCTTGTTATGAAATATATATTAATATGCATAATGCTTTTTGCTTAATAAAATATTGTATAGGCTGTATATATAGATATGTAAATTTATTAAAAAAATTATATGTTATAATACATATATTGTATACAATTTAGTTGATATCATTTTTCGACTAACTTATACACTTTAAATACTTTTCGAAAATTATATAAATAGCATTTCTAATTTATAAAAATACATGCTAAATTTAAAACTAATCTATATAATCTCATATATATTTACATAAGTTAGTTAAGATACAATATTCTGAAAAAAGTAAAAAAAAAGTTTTATTTAAATTTAAATATGCGCAAAAACAAATAGCCATCAATTACGAATTTGAATTATGTTGTTTGATTGGTAATAATTATATATAAAACAACAAATCGATCTCAGTATATAAACATATAAACCCAATTATAATTCAGTTTAAACTTTACCCGATTTGGATTTGAATAGCAACCGGTTTTAAGTTATGTGAAATCAATTTGGTTTTAAAATTTACAACCGGTTCACACCTCTATTTTTTATTTCAAATAAAATTGCTTGTAGTATATTTGTATTTAAATTCTAATAAATAAAATATATTAAAAAATTTTAATATAATTTTATTTATATTTATTAGCCATTATTCTATAAGCTAAAAATTTAGAATTTTTAATTATATTAGATTGTTAATTAGAATAAAATTTTGCAGCATCTCTATACTATTTAATAAAAGTTCTTACTGAAAACTATTTATCAGATTTCTATCTATAAGCTATTTAATAACTGCTTTAGTATATTTTATAGCAGGTTTATATAATATTTTACTAATTTTACAAACTTTTGTTACTATTTGTATTGTTTTTGTTGTATAATGATATTTATTTTCTATTAATTATTGCTTAATTGTAGTTTTTAATTTTTTTTAGTATACCTTTTAATTTTAAATATTTTTTGCTTTTAAATTTTTTTAAATTTACTAATTTTATTATTTAATAATCTATTTTTACTTTTAATTATATTTAATTAATATATTAAACTATTTATTTGATTTATTAAAGACTTTATTGTAGTATTTTATTTATTAATATTATATTCTGTTTAATAAAATAAATTTTTTATTATTTTTGCTACTTTTTGTTATAAATATTTTAAAAAAAGCTTATTAATATTTTACCCTTTTTTATATTATATAGTTTGTATTAAAGAAAGAGCTAATAATAAAAATTTTTACTAAATTTATAATAAGTTTAGATTATATTTTTGGTTATAGATAAGTATTTGAGTAATTTAATTAAATAAATTAAGTAATTAAAATTTTAAATTTACTTTATTTGTTTACTCTATTTAAATTTTATTAAATTATATAATAACTTTAGTTTGAGTAACAACTATATTAATAATAAATTTGGTTTGTATAATAATTGTATTAACAAAATTTTTAGTTTGAATAGCAACTGTATTAATATTAGATTCAGTTTATATAGCAATTGTATTAACAAGATTTTTTAGTCTAAATAGTAATTATATTAACAAGATTTTTAGTCTGAATAGCAATTGTATTAACAAGATTTTTATTTTGAGTAGCAATTATATTAATAAGATTTTTAGTTTGAATAGCAGTTGATATAAATAATATATTATTTGTATTATTATTTTTTTTAAAAACTTTGGCAAGAAAAGTTGGTAATACTTTATTAGATATATTTATAAATATATTATATAATTTTTTAAACTATTTTATAGTCTATTACTAGACTATACTAATCTAATATAAAGACCTAATATAATATTTAACTGTTTTTATAAATACTTAAATACATCTTTGTTGTATTATCAATATATTATGACTGAGACTAATACTTTTAATATGAGTATCTTCTACTTTGAAAAAGAATTATTATACTATATTATTGTTTTCTCTAAAGTATTCTGATATTAGTTCAAAATCTACAGAAACTTATATTTCAAACCAGAAACTGCTATTTAATTAGATTTATTATATAACAGAATTAGTATTTTATTAATAGATAATTCTTTTTACTTATTTGTTCAGATACTACTAATTAGTTTTTCAAGCCAGTTTTTGCTACTATAACACAATTTACAGATACTTTATATCTTAATATTATACAGTTGCTTTAGTATTTTCCTTTATTCTTTTAAGTATTATTTGCTATAATGAGGTTTAAAATATATTTTACAAATATATAAAACAATTTTAGTTATATTTAAAGAGTTTTACTAACTCTAATGATATTATACTATTATATAATACTTGCTTCTAGTATATTATTATATTTGACCAAACAATTTTAGTTATAATTAGAGAGTTATACCAATCTAGTAATACTATATTATTTTTGTATTATAAACTTCAGAGATTAATAGATTTTAAATTTATTTATTATAGACTTCATATATATAATATCATATCCTAATTTAGTATCTTTATATATATTTAGAACATTAAACAATCTCTATATTCTTTGTCTTCTATAGTATTTCATTTTATATTACCAAAAATATTTCTGATTCTAATAAGACTAATCTTTTACTATAGACTATTACATGTTTACTACTTTTCTTGCTACTCTAACCTTAATTAGACAATCATACTTTTAAGCAATTATCTATATCTTTTTGATCCAAATAAAAACTTATATATATAATCTGTTAATCATCCTTTTAAATAAGTATCTTATAGGTTTGAGCCCCATAGCTTATTAGTTAAGTTCTTAAATCCTACAAATAAGATTAACAGTTTGAGTTGAGCTGGTAACAAATTTCAAATTTGTTGCTATAACCTTATAAAGCTATAATCAAATACAAAGCCCTATAAAAAGTCTAAATACAAGTATAATTTTGGAACAAAAATTTCTAAAAGAAGCTTTGATTATAGAGTGCAGGTACTATGTATAATAGTAGTATTATAGAAGATCTAGATTATAAAAGATTACACAAGTAAACCTTCTGGTTATGATAACCTAAATACAATACCAACATTCTATTACCTCCATATTTGGCAATACTAATATCCCTACACCCAACTTGTAGGATACTTGCTTAGAAGAATAATCAATGAATTGTGTATATAAGTTCTAATATAGATTGGTGTTAGGTACTTGTTTGGAAGAGTGTTATAATACTACTAAGACTAGAATAGTAAGAGAAGTAGCAAATATATAAAAAAGCTATAGAAAAGATTGGTTTTATCTAAAATTAGAAGTATCTTTAGCACTGTAAAACAGCTAATTAAAAGAAAATAATTTTATAAAAACAGGCTAGCTAACCTAGTATATTTAAAAATACCAAGTTAGAGTTCTAGTTATATCTATATATAAGTCTATAATAAAAGAAGCCAAAATATATCAACAATAATACAATATCAACTAATAGATAAGAGTCCAAGTTGGAAGTTAAAATAAATTGGAGTATGCTTTCTAGTAAAATGATACAAGGTCTATGGTTAGAAGTAGAGCTGCTTACTATTTAAGGAATTTTGTAATATTTGGCTAGTCTTTAACAAGATAGATCATTAAAGCTGTATTATAAAATATAATTCTAGTAATACACTATATAAGAAAGTACAAACAGGTTAGTTGATATCATTATATCAAAAAAAGAATATTAAGTCCTGGGGTATACAAACTAGCAGTAGTAGCAAAAACTTGGCTTGAGATATGAATTAGTAGTATCTAAGCTAATAAGTAGGAGAGATTAGATATTTATGAAAATGAAGAAATATAAACCGGTTTTAGTCAGTGCAAACCCAAGATAAATTCTAACTCATCAATGAAATACCAACTC